GAAAAATAGTTTTTTAATATTCGCACTTTTAGCCAAAAAAACTTACAATTTGAAACGGAGAAAGTATTTTATTTGTCTGGTGCAATTAAAACCATCAAACACGTGCAAGCGGAATCGCCCTCACACACAACATTTTTTGGCAGTCACAAGAGAACCAATCAAGTATTTAGAAGAATAAGTGAATAACCACCAACAAAATCTGTAAATCAATTTTTGTTTTTTGATAAAATAAACAGCATTGTCCACTAATCAAACCAATAGAACTTTCATTATTTTTAGTGTTGAGAAAAATTTGAGGCTTCAAACTTCTGAAGGAGTCTTTGTTGTCATTTGATCAACGGCATGAACAACATTCTGAAGCTCTTCCCAAATGGCTTTGTACACCATTCTTTGTCTGTTCACTGCAGATTGTCCCTCAAAAGCCGATGATACCACATTGATGCTACATACATTAAGCAATCTGGTGTTAAGTCTAGTAGAACCATGTTCTATGAAAACTACAAGTGAAGAAAGATTCTTGCTGATACAAGAATTCAGCTTACATCAATACTGGATTAAGTAACTACGGAGCAACTCTAAGTGAAATCACAACATTGATGACCAAGTTGCTCGGTATTGTAGAATCATCAAAGCTTACATCAATACACTGATGACCAAGTTGCTCGGTATTGTAGAATCATAAAAGCTAGGGTTTAAGTTAATTTTTGGCTCTTGATGTATTCTACTGGTTGAATTTGAAAGTTCTTGTGATTTTTTTTTTCCACACAATACCGAGCAACTTGATCATTGATGTTTTTACTACATCTCGGTTTCTGATCTGTGTTCGATAAAGAGAAACAAAAACAAAGGACAAAGGGTTTCAAAATGTGAACTTAACTAAATATCAAAAACTTCAATGAAACACTACTCCTAAACACAAATATCATCTGTACTTCAGTTATGTGTCTAAACTGAATGATTTGGAAGATCAAATGAGTTATTATGCAAGAGTACATACCAGACATGACGTCCATCTCCAGACATATCCTGCACAGAAACTGACTCTGCATTCAATTGTTCTTTGATCTGCACACCAAAACAAAACCCATATGTGTTGATAAACCGAATAAATCAAAACTTTTAATCTCAAAGACAAAGAATCATATGCTTTCTGAGACATGATTCCTCTTTAATGATCTTAGCTTAGTGACACAACCTCATACTGATAATTTGAGCTTACTCAGAGTAATCAGGAACCAGAGGTGATAGTTGTTACCAATGAATAAACAAAATTTATGCCAAGTATCGAATCAATTCCTTCAAATTTCACTAATTTAACCTATAATTAGAAAGATGAATAGAAAACGAAATACCCAATGATTCAAATCCACTGAAAATTTGAAAACTTTGTACATGAGAAAAGAAAAAATCAAACCTTTTGCTCCATGGATTGCATAAGGGTTTGATCAATAGAGCCAGCATCGTTGATTTGAGAGGATCTAGTACTGAAATTGAGGCTACGAATGTCCAAAACACCAAACCCAGAAACCCTAGAAACTCCTTTGCCGTAAATCGACGACGACGCCGCAGTCTCTACACGAGACAAAACGACGGCGTTTAGGCATCTCGAGTTGGTGGTTCTCGCGGAAGAAGATGATAAAAATGAAGCGAAGGATCTTTTGGGGGATTGAAAGAGGAGATGATGAAGGCTCGATCTTGTGGAGGAGAGAAGAACGAAGGGACGAGTTGTCGCCATTAAGGTCTTTGCCATTGTTTGAGACTTTGGGACTGAGTGAGCAAAATGTGTTGCGAAATTGTGCGTGGCTGAGAGAATGGGCTTCAAACAACACAAATAAAGTTATGATGGCTTTGATGTTAAAAAAACAAAAAAAGGTCATGGGCTTTATTTTCTTCACAGAAGTTATGGGGCTAGTTTTAAAACCCCAAGAATGAGAGAGTGTATGCTAAGTAGCAAGTTTTTAATCGTTTAGATTTATCAGAACAATTACACGGAGGATTATACAACGAATAATTTTAGCATTGACATACGA